TTCTCAATCTGAGGACAGACGTATCAACTCCGGGCAATACAAAAAAATTCGCCTGAAAAATTTCGGTGTAATTTGAAAGCTTTAAAACCATTAAAAGACTCCTCGGCCTTTGGGAAAGACTGTAAATTGAAATAAAAAAACTTGAAAAAATTTCTCGCGTTCAAAAGTACCTAAAAATTGAAAAAAAGCTCAAGTAAAAAAAGTTTTCAAATCATGTGTCTTCTAAAAACACTGAAAATTAAGTAATTTACACGCAAAACTATAAGTTTAAAAATTTCCCGCTTTTAAAAAACTTATGTTTACTTACCTTAATTTTTTTTCACGAAAATTTGACAGGGTGATTTTCTCGAGACTGAAAAAATTTACATTTTTTCACTTTTTTGAAATTCTCTAAGATTTTTTTTGCGACGAAGTATTTTGTCTTGGGCTACCTGTGTCTGTCTTGGGCTACCTGTGTCCGGTTTGACACAGGTAACCCAAGACATGATACTTTTTCATAAAAAAAATCTCGGATAATTTCAAAAAAGTGAAAAATCTTTTTGAGGAAGATGTATTTTGTCTTGGGCTACTGTGTCAAGCCAGACACAGGTAGCCCAAGACAGACACAGGTAGCCCAAGACAAAATACTTCGTCGCAAAAAAAATCTTAGAGAATTTCAAAAAAGTGAAAAAATGTAAATTTTTTCAGTCTCGAGAAAATCACCCTGTCAAATTTTCGTGAAAAAAAATTAAGGTAAGTAAACATAAGTTTTTTAAAAGCGGGAAATTTTTGAACTTATAGTTTTGTGTGTAATTTACTTAATTTTCAGTGTTTTTAGAAGACATGATTTGAAAACTTTTTTTACTTGAGCTTTTTTTCAATTTTTAGGTACTTTTGAACGCGAGAAATTTTTTCAAGTTTTTTTATTTCAATATTTTTTCAATTTACAGTCTTTCCCAAAGGCCAAGGAGTCTTTTAATAGTTTTAAAGCTTCCAAATTACACCGAAATTTTTCAGGCGAATTTTTTTGTATTGCCCGGAGTTGATACGTCTGTCCTCAGATTGAGAAACGAACGTCTTAACCACTAGGCCACCGCATCATTTGTCAAAAGCTATTGTTCTTTATTTGACCTAATCCTTTTCGATGAAGTTTAAATTAAAGAATAATTTCGGTGAAAAATCGAACTTTCCCATGTAGGATTCGAACCTAGACTTGCAACCTGGTAGGCCGTAGCCTTAACCCACTGAGCCACCGCATCTTTGTTCTTTATTCGACTTAATCCTATTGGCAGAATTTTAAATTAAATGCAATTTATGTGGGAAAAATTGCACTTCTCCCTGGCAGGATTCGAACCTACGCTCTCAAATTGGTAGGGCGGTAGCCTTAACCACTAAGCCACCGCATCCGTGTTGATACTTACCTTAAAATAATACGACTTTTTCAATGTTCCAAAAACCAACCAAATATGCTCTAAAATGAAAGATATTAGTCTTAGTATGCCATTTCTAGCATTTTAAGACACTTTTTGAACAATTGAAAAAGTCGTCAAAATTGACAAAAATGGTAAGGGGTAAGCCTTACCATTTTGGTCAATTATGACGACTTTTTCAATGTTCCAAAAACCAACCAAATATGCTCTAAAATGAAAGATATTAGTCTTAGAAAGAAATTTTTAGCATTTTAAGACAGTTTTTGAATAGTTAAAAGAGTCGTCAAAATTGACCAAAATGGTAAGGGATAAGCCTTACCATTTTGGTCAATTATGACGACTTTTTCAATGTTCCAAAATCCAACCAAATATGCTCTAAAATGAAAGATATTAGTCTTAGTAAGCCATTTCTAGCATTTTAAGACACTTTTTGAACAGTTGAAAAAGTCGTCAAAATTGACCAAAATGGTAAAGCTTACCCCTTACCATTTTGGTCAATTATGACGACTTTTTCAATGTTCCAAAATCCAACCAAATATGCTCTAAAATGAAAGATATTAGTCTTAGTATGCCATTTCTAACATTTTAAGACACTTTTTGAACAGTTGAAAAAGTCGTCAAAATTGACCAAAATGGTAAGGGGTAAGACTTACCATTTTTGACGACTTTTTCAAAGTTGCAAAAAGCAACCAAATATGCTCTAAAATGAAAGATATTAGTCTTAGAAAGAAATTTTTAGCATTTAAGACAGTTTTTGAATAGTTGAAAAAGTCGTCAAAATTGACCAAAATGGTAAGGGGTAAGCCTTACCATTTTGGTCAATTATGACGACTTTTTCAATTGTTCAAAAACTGTCTCAAAATGCTCTGAAATGAAAGATATTAGTCTTAGGAAGCCATTTTTAGCATTTTAAGACAGTTTTTGAACAATTGAAAAAGTCGTCAAAATTGACCAAAATGGTAAGGCTTACCCCTTACCATTTTGGTCAATTTTGACGACTTTTTCAATGTTCCAAAAACCAACCAAATATGCTCTAAAATGAAAGATATTAGTCTTAGTATGCCATTTCTAGCATTTTAAGACACTTTTTGAACAGTTGAAAAAGTCGTCAAAATTGACAAAAATGGTAAGGGGTAAGCCTTACCATTTTGGTCAATTATGACGACTTTTTCAATGTTCCAAAAACCAACCAAATATGCTCTAAAATTAAAGACATTAGTCTTAGAAAGAAATTTTTAGCATTTTAAGACAGTTTTTGAATAGTTAAAAGAGTCGTCAAAATTGACCAAAATGGTAAGGGATAAGCCTTACCATTTTGGTCAATTATGACGACTTTTTCAATGTTCCAAAATCCAACCAAATATGCTCTAAAATGAAAGATATTAGTCTTAGTAAGCCATTTCTAGCATTTTAAGACACTTTTTGAACAGTTGAAAAAGTCGTCAAAATTGACCAATATGGTAAGGGGTAAGACTTACCATTTTTGACGACTTTTTTAATGTTCCAAAAACCAACCAAATATGCTCTAAAATGAAAGATATTAGTCTTAGAAAGAAATTTTTAGCATTTAAGACAGTTTTGAATAGTTGAAAAAGTCGTCAAAATTGACCAAAATGGTAAGGGGTAAGCCTTACCATTTTGGTCAATTATGACGACTTTTTCAATTGTTCAAAAACTGTCTCAAAATGCTCTGAAATGAAAGATATTAGTCTTAGGAAGCCATTTTTAGCATTTTAAGACAGTTTTTGAACAATTGAAAAAGTCGTCAAAATTGACCAAAATGGTAAGGGGTAAGCCTTACCATTTTGGTCAATTATGACGACTTTTTCAATGTTCCAAAAACCAACCAAATATGCTCTAAAATTAAAGACATTAGTCTTAGAAAGAAATTTTTAGCATTTTAAGACAGTTTTTGAATAGTTAAAAGAGTCGTCAAAATTGACCAAAATGGTAAGGGATAAGCCTTACCATTTTGGTCAATTATGACGACTTTTTCAATGTTCCAAAATCCAACCAAATATGCTCTAAAATGAAAGATATTAGTCTTAGTAAGCCATTTCTAGCATTTTAAGACACTTTTTGAACAGTTGAAAAAGTCGTCAAAATTGACCAATATGGTAAGGGGTAAGACTTACCATTTTTGACGACTTTTTTAATGTTCCAAAAACCAACCAAATATGCTCTAAAATGAAAGATATTAGTCTTAGAAAGAAATTTTTAGCATTTAAGACAGTTTTTGAATAGTTGAAAAAGTCGTCAAAATTGACCAAAATGGTAAGGGGTAAGCCTTACCATTTTGGTCAATTATGACGACTTTTTCAATTGTTCAAAAACTGTCTCAAAATGCTCTGAAATGAAAGATATTAGTCTTAGGAAGCCATTTTTAGCATTTTAAGACAGTTTTTGAACAATTGAAAAAGTCGTCAAAATTGACCAAAATGGTAAGGCTTACCCCTTACCATTTTGGTCAATTTTGACGACTTTTTCAATGTTCCAAAAACCAACCAAATATGCTCTAAAATGAAAGATATTAGTCTTAGTATGCCATTTCTAGCATTTTAAGACACTTTTTGAACAGTTGAAAAAGTCGTCAAAATTGACCAAAATGGTAAGGGGTAAGCCTTACCATTTTGGTCAATTATGACGACTTTTTCAATGTTCCAAAAACCAACCAAATATGCTCTAAAATTAAAGACATTAGTCTTAGAAAGAAATTTTTAGCATTTTAAGACAGTTTTTGAATAGTTAAAAGAGTCGTCAAAATTGACCAAAATGGTAAGGGATAAGCCTTACCATTTTGGTCAATTATGACGACTTTTTCAATGTTCCAAAATCCAACCAAATATGCTCTAAAATGAAAGATATTAGTCTTAGTAAGCCATTTCTAGCATTTTAAGACACTTTTTGAACAGTTGAAAAAGTCGTCAAAATTGACCAATATGGTAAGGGGTAAGACTTACCATTTTTGACGACTTTTTTAATGTTCCAAAAACCAACCAAATATGCTCTAAAATGAAAGATATTAGTCTTAGAAAGAAATTTTTAGCATTTAAGACAGTTTTTGAATAGTTGAAAAAGTCGTCAAAATTGACCAAAATGGTAAGGGGTAAGCCTTACCATTTTGGTCAAATTTGATGACTTTTTTACTGTTTCAACAACCAACCAAATATGCTCTAAAATGAAAGATGTTAGTCTTAGAAAGCAATTTTTAGCATTTTAAGACAAATTTAACAGTTGGAAAAGTCGTCCTAATTGACCAAAATGGTAAGGGTAGGCCCTTAATTATGAGCATTTCACATTTTCACTTTTAAATACTAGTATACGTACATTTCGCGTCAAAACACACTTTCGACGAAAGATAATAAAAAAAAACTGGCGAATTTTCATCACTGCTGTCGTTAGTAGGGTTTAATAAACTTTGTAGCCGTCGCCTCGTCTAGTACGACATTTTTAAAAAACTTTGTAGTCCCCACTACGTTGTGAAGGAATTTTAAAAGGTAAGGCGTTATAACAAAAAGTTATTCTGCAGAATATTTTCCTTTGAACGGGAACGTAAGTGGAAGATATATATATTTAAAAATCAATATTTCAACACGTGCGATGAGAAACTACATTTTTCCATCTTTCCAAAGTATAAATGTTTACATTGTGGTAACCAAGGGAGACGACGACATGCAATGCGATATTTCGTCGTTTTGAAATCCAATATGTCAAAGAAAGACATAAAAGCTACTTTTCGTGGCATAGACGAAGCAGATGTTTGTTGCTAACATGCGAGATTTCTAAATTACCAGCTTGAACGACAGGAAGACAAGTGCTAAAGAAGTATTAAGCAAACACTATCTTCGATTATATAAACAATTTTTTGAGCTAAACCACATGGCTTCGGGACAATTGGAAGGGGCAAAGGCACCGTTTTTGAATGACTACAAACTACAGTTCCTTCAAAAAAGATTTCCACGAACTTTAACCGGAGGCCTTCGTCTCAAAATTGGTGCGCCATTATATGTATATCTCTACCAGATTCTCGTGTTTCTATGGCCAGCGTTACTCGGTGGGATTTTTACTGTACTGACAGAATTTGACGTCCTTCAAGATTACGTGTGTTGTTATCTATTTGGCGGGATTTTAGGGCTGATAGCCACTTGTATATATCTGTTAAGAATGTATTTATCAAAAAACCTTTATGCTAAAGGTAGCCAAAGTAGCAGACACAACGTTTTAGCAGATGATGATCAAGTAGACTTTTCATCTTGTTGTGGTGTGGACACATTTCTTTATATATTCCCAGCAAAGGCAGCATTTGCACTGTTGCATGGCATCGTCCTTGCGGTTTTATGTAGTATGGTATTTCTGTGCTTGCTACCATCTCGATTGCAGAATCTTGGTTATGACACTGCCACAACTGTTGTTCTGTTAATATTTAACTGGTTGACATTGTGCATTGCAAGTCATTCGTTAATTATTGAACCACCACCAGAGACTGCAATTTTTAGGTCCTTAGACACAGTAGGACTAAATGCATTTATGAGGCCTTTTTATGTCACTGCAATTGCTGTAGTGGGTGTCTTAGCAAGGTAGGTTTGCGTTCATATGAACTTGTTTGCTTGCAATGTGCAAATAGGTATTTTGCCTTTCATCAAAGCATTGTGCTTTGTCAGGTGAGGCTGCTAGCTCAGATGTTTTACACATTAGTGGATATGTATTGCCAGTTTTAGAGATTTTGGCAGATTAACACATTACCTTGTTAACTGATCACCTTAAAATACACCCAGTTTCCTGCATTTTTCTGAAGTTCAATGCATAACGAATAAGGCCACAATTATGTCCCTTGTGGCTAAGGTTAGAAAATTTCATTGGCCTCAGGTGTAGCTGGTAGTAAATAATACCTGTGATTGTATTACATTTCAGACATTACTCCAGTTTAGAGGAAATCAGTAAGGTTCTATATATTGTCATGGCAATATTACCACTCCTGTGGACCGTTGGGTTATTGCCTCCAATTGATGCCTTGTTTCCTTGGCTTGGTGAACAGATATTGGTGTTTGCATTGGGTGGTACATATATGGCATCAGACAGCAGGTATTAGAATGTTGACTTTAGTTTTATATGCCACTGAAATTATCTTGCAGTTAAATTGACTATAAGCTGCGCTCCAAATAGATATTCACTTGACACCTGTAAGGAGTGAGAGAAAGTTCAGATTGTAGGAAAGTCCTCTTGATCAAATTATATAATAGCGTATTGGTTCGTTTTGTAATTTTCAGATTGTTTTTCGCATTGCTGGTATCCGTCATCTCTTTGGTTCCTGCATATTTCATTACCAACTACACTGCACTGATGACTTACTCAGCCGCAATTGGATTCATTCTTAGTCTGGACATGTTCCACATTACCAGCTTTGTTGTAAACAATAAAACCCACAAACTTCATCTGTCAACCATCATCACTATTGGAAAGTACAGTATTCTACTGGTCATTACAGGCACCGTTGCTGGCATCACCAGTCATTTGCATGAAGATGCAACTGAAACTATGTTTGACTCTTTTGGTTATGTCTTTGTTATGTTATTGTTGCTGTTAAAAGTTCTTGGTGACTTGCAATATGTCTATGTTTGCTCAGGACTGACCAGGAATCCATTCTTCATCAACAGTGCCACTTCTGTGGAAAAACTGAAGAAATTTCAGCAGAAAATTGGATACCTTGGCCACATTTATAATGTGTTACTTTCCTATAGTATGTCCTGTCAAATATCTTTGATATTTTCCTGTTTGATTTAAATTGTTTTTATTAAGAATACCCTGCTTTGGAATTGCCACTGCCATTTCTTAGGATAAAAAGACAACCAAGCACTCTTTTTAATAGACTAACTATCTGCCATTGTTATTCATCTGCTAACAACTTGCATTGCATCCAAATTTAGTATTTTACTCCGTCTAAATCCAGGAGATTTTATTTTCAATCTTATATCACAGTTCACCAAAAGTTCTAATACCGTTCTTCAATTTTAAAGTTTGCCCATTTATCATGGTCGCATTTCTCGGAACATTTCTCAAATCTTCGAAAGATCTTGGTTCGTTTGCAACGGCATTGGGAACAATACGAGCTCTGAGATGGGTAAGTCTTTACCTAAATAAACGTTCTGTGCTATTTCAACCACCGCTTAAGAAATAGAAAACATTTTCCGTGTTTCTATACAGTTATATAAACACTTGTGGGAGATCTAGAAATAACGTGGAAAAACTCGCCCATTATTTCTCGTTCTCCCAAATTCCCAAAAGTGTTTCTATAACTATATAAAAACAAGGGGGGAAAGTTTATGAAAGTCTATAATATAACTTAAAAACAAGAACTTGTAATTTTTATCCAATTTCAGGCAATTTTTAATTCGATTCAATGACAAATTCTCATTACATTACTTCGCTTGTATATTTCGGCGGGAAAATTTCCGTGTTCTTAAAAGCATATTTATAGAAACACGCTTCTCGACCAATCAGCACGTGCGTTCTATAAGTGTTATATTATAAAAAGTTATGAAACAGTTCTGTATCAAAAATGCAAAATCTCTTTTTTCAACCCTTACGATAGGTTTGGCAGAATACTTTCAAATCTCTACTGGAGGTAACAGTATGTTGTGTGATTTACTGGATTGACATCGGAAGCTCATGGTGGAACGATTTAGGTCTTGGCTTGCAACTTATGGTCATCGGAATCATGACGGACCGGCTCCATGAACTAATCACAAAGATAAAATTCATGTTCACGTTATTCATCACGTCGTGGACTGAAGCAAAACAACGACATTCTGCAACATTACCAACTTTAATAACATCGCTTTTGTTTTTCCCGCTAGTTCTGTCAATTGTAGTCATTTCGGTCGCTCTATCAGCTCCGTTGACTCCCATATTCTGTTTTCCAATATTCTTCGTCGGATTTCCTCGTCCCAAACGTATGTGGCCGTCTTTGACAGCGCAGAGCTCAACCGGTAGCGAAGGCTGTGTATTTTACCAACAACTCGTACCAAAAATCTGCTCTGAGCTACAAAGCACGATCGCAAGCGGGAATCTCGTTACAAAAAGCGATTATCTGATGGTCCGTTACCAAGACAGACTGATTGTCTTGCATATTCTAGAAAAAGGTTATAGATACTGTACTTTAATAGCACGGGGTCTTGAACTGCAGGAGACCTCGTGCCATACTGTGGAAGCGGCCAGAGTTGATGATATTTTCGAGGATGTTTTCACCAAGGAAACAAAAACACCATTTGGGTTGAACTCGTATCCATTGCATACACTAACGCCTCTAAACTGTCTGGTTGTCGAGACTTATTCAGATGCTCACAATGTCCTCACCGGAATAATAGACCAGCCGGAGAATATTGAAAGGCAGTCCAGCAATTTCATAAAATGTTTGGTTTGGGTTCTGTTGAAAGAGTTGAGCAGAAATGAGAGAAGCTCTAAGGATACCGTAGAAAATCCTGTCGCCTCTGTGGAAAAGCCTGAAGTAATGGATTCAAGTGATGTTGTAAATCTTCAAGAAGATAATATGGTTGTACAGAATAAAGAAACCACCTTGTATGAGGATTTCCACAGCGAGAATGTGAAACTTGCCCTTACTAAAGGTAATGCACCTCGCATACGGCATACCTCAATGAAGCAGTTTCAGGGTATTAAAAGGTGAAAGATAGAGTTTCAGCATTTAGTTTTGGTTTCCTCCTGTTGTAACACTGGATCAATAAGAGACAATCTTTACTGGGCCTCTAGGAAGAACAGTTTAGAACTGATAGAGTTATCCAGTATAAATAAAGTTAGTTTAGTTTAGGTTTCCTCTTGTAGTAACGCTGAATCAATAAGAGATGATCCTTACTGGACCTCTAGGAAAAACAGTTTAGAATTGAGAGAGCTATCCAGTATAAATAAAGTTAGTTTAGTTTAGGTTTCATACTGTAGTAACACTGGATCAATAAGAGATGATCCTTACTGGACCTCTAGGAAGAACAGTTTAGAACTGAGAGAGTTATCTAGCATAAAAAAAGTTAGTTCAGTTTAGGTTTCTTACTGTAGTAGCACTGGATCAGTAAGAGATGATCCTCACTGGGCCTTCAGGAAGAACAGTTTAGAACTGAAAACTGTAAATGGTATTTTTTTATAAAGACAAGAAGAGCTCAAAGCCATCAAAGATTCTCCTAGACACAGATTGGTCAGATAAAGAATGGTCTGCAAGCGAATCAAGCGAAGATGAAGACCAGGACAAAACTAAACCTTTACCCTCCTCAGGGGAAAACCCTCTGGTAATGTTTGGCCTGCCCGCTCAAGATATCGGAAGTCAAACAAGACTTAATGATAGTAACCCTCAGAAATCAGGGAGCGTGTTCCCAAGTAGGAAAATCACACCTATAGCCATGGAGACCAGGGTGGAGGATGCCCCATGGGGAGGAGGGGGTAGTGCTGGGGAAGGCAGCGGGCAGCTGTCAAGTTGGAAAAACTTGTTGCAACCATGCAGCAGGTATCAAGCACAAGTGCATTCAGAATTTCCTGAGGAATGGTTCAGGTTTGTGATCAGTAGGATAATAAACACAGGCAATGAAACTGACGCCAAAAACCTCGACGAAGTCAAGACTAGCATGTTCAGAGACTTGATCATGTATTGTTACGCGGTGATTAATGTCTGTGGTTTGCACGGCAGTGTAGTGGAAGCAGGACCTTCACGTATAACCAAAGTTTTCCAGGATCGTATTCCATGGTCACCGGAGCTGGATCTGTTGGAGGAAGATAGTGAATTAAAGGAAATCGTTTTGAGAGCTTATAGGTGAGTTTTGGTAGCTGCATACGACTGGAGGAAGGCAGATTAGTGTATTTAGCATTCTCAAGGCCTTCACTCAACTTATTGCCACGGCCCGTCTGAAACACGAAATCAATAGGAGACGATCCTTACTAGTCCTCTGCAGGAAGAACGGTTTGAAGTTGATAGAGCTATCCAGTAACACAGGATCAACATGAAATGATCATATTAAAGAGAAGAGTTTTGGTTTGGACCGTTTTGTCGCTTTGCAGACTGCAATAACACCCAGACTTCCAATATCTTATTTCATTCTCCTGCAGGTACGCGTTCAAACTAACCTACGACGAGGCGGTCCTCGGCCCGTTCGACGATCACGATGAACTACGTGAGACATTGAATGATTACGACGAAAACTGGTTCATTGGAGTTGAAAATAAACCTGGATGGAACGAAGCGATATTAGAAGAAAAATCAAACCTATTTACCATAGGTTATGACACCGATCAGGTTGGTGTAGAGAAAATTGAACTGTCTATGTCGAAAAACGTATAGTTAAGCGTGAAGAGTGCTTACCAGCAAGAATAAGACTTATTTGAGTTTCTATCTGTTTTGTTTTGTTTTTTGTTTTAAATCTACGTTTTTTGCAGTGTAAAAAGGCGTTTAAAAAAACACATGAATAGTGTTTTTAATACATTTTTTGCAGTGTAAAAAGGCGTTTAAAAAACACATGAATAGTTTTCAAATTGCCTGCAATATTTTCTTATGTCTAGGGCACGTATACAAGTCATTTGCTTACGAAGCAGGAACTGGCCTTGTACACTGGAACGTTAAACAGCGAAGCCGTGAACGGACAGTGGTCCTCTCTAGCATTTGAACTACTTTATTTAACAAACGATGACGAGGAACGATACAGTATCCAAGCTCATCCGGTATTGTTGCGAAACCTCACGATGCAAGCCGCTGATCCACCGTTAGGCTATGCCGTGTATTCGTCTGGACCTGTGCATCTTTCATACGGTTTGATATAGGTTGATGTAAACATGGTTTGATTCAGGATGAGTGTTATTCACGTGAGGTTAATTAGATTCAGAAGTCCGGCTCTATTCCACTGATCTCTGTAATATACATGGACACTAACCTCGCGCCATTGGACTGTAAAACATTTCGTCTTCAAAAGTAATTTATTTATAAAGTTTTTAAAGAATTACATTGGTAATTGGAATTAGATTCGATTTCAATAGACTTTGGAAAAAGAAAAAGCTTTGTGAATAAATTCATCATTAAAATTATCAAAAACACGAGAAACTTGCACATTGTTGTTAAACATATATTCTTTTAAAATTTAAAAATATATTACATAATTGTTTGAGAACAATAACTTTCCAGGAATTTTAATATATTTATATTTTGATGAGTCGATCATGTCAGTTGGATAATTCATCGAGATCACGTGTTTATTTCACGCCTTTTCAGTCTTTGGGACGCAGTGTGTTTCTTCATACGACACGAGAGATGCATTTATCCAGAGACTCAATTTACTTTCGCTGTGAAAAAATAAATTCAACAGTTAAATATCGTGATTTGTGAAGTATCGTGCTGGGGGTTAAGACACGAATGTGCTTCAAAAATCTACCTTTGGCTTCTCGAAGTTTCTTCAAACCTTTCATTCCAAATCTTTTGTACAACCTTAAAAAAGGCGAGCTTAACATAAGAAGACGTTGTTATCGACAAGGGCCGCGAAACGGTGGTGAAGTGGGGCTCTTTCCCCTGCTGGGGGACAACCGCCCCTAGGTGTAGTTCCAGTGTCCCTGAGTTAGTAAAGTTTCTAAATACAACCAGGCTATCCCACGTACATTGTGAAAAAAGAAGGCATGTATTGCGAAGCGTATGTTATCAACAACACTGGTTGAAGAGAGATCCAGCATTCGTCCAGTTTATTGACCAAAGCTATCGCCATAAATCTGGCAAATTTTCCCGCATCCATGCGACCAGAGACATTCTCGGCTATTTTGTTGTCCTTGTAACTCTAAACGTCAAAACGAGAATGGTTGATGAATGCACACAAGAGTGGTACAAGTCTCAGGATGGAGTTTACATCAAGTGATACAACAATGAATCACCTACCTTCCCAGAAACTTCAGTAACTGCATTTTGGACACTCGCAGTTCTTATGGGACCAGGGCAAATAGAAGTGACGATTATCCCTTTGTCATAGAGCTCTGCACGAAGGCTAGAGAAATATCCCTAAAGATAGCCAGAAATATAACAATTGAAAATTCAGCGTTGAGGCTCATCCAGGCAAAAGTGCTGGAAATATATCAGCACAGCTAGAGAATGTGTCCAAACCCATCAAGCAAGGTTTGGATACATAGAAGGTGGATCCAAATTGTCAAATTCAATCACCCACCTGGAGGGCAAACTTTGATGCGGAATATGTTGCAGAGCCAACCACGCCTAGATTTAGATACACAATAGATTTGGATATGACAGATGGCTGGGGGGGGTTAATTCCTATTTGAGGAATTATGTATGGAAATTTGTACTAATTTATAAATATTATAGTGTACTCAGGAGTTTAAACAGCTAACTGTCACCTCTATGGGTGGAAACTAGTCTGTACCTTTCCCCTACAAAACCTCATTGAAACCCTTGTGGATAGGTTACCTGTGTTTAATCACAATTAGTGTCTATTTTCGGAAAACACCTGATAAAGAACTTTGTCAAATGAATATTCACTTCAGTTTCTATATTATGCCCAACATACCAAATTTCCCTTGGACACTGCTGACAACAACTATGTGACCATCATTCCTCTTGACCATGTCACGAAGAACCACTTTTGTCAGTGAAATTTGGCCAATCACGTTTAAGTCAAACAAATCCCTATCGACCTGAAGTTCTGTGTCTACAGCTAGCGCACGTTGTGATCTACCACTGTTGTTCACCAAAATATCAACCTTTGGGAGAAAAAAGAAATGAAACCTTCACACAAATTTAACTGTTTTTTTAGTCATACGAAATATAGTTTGTTTGCATACTCAGGTCTAGTTGTGATCTTTATGAGCTGATCTCAATGTTTATTACCCTCTGGCTCTTTGTTTGGGCCATTCATTTGAGCTCATTTGTATTGAGTTTAGCTCATGACAAGCACAGCATCTAAACCAAGGCTTAGCTTGTGTGTTGCACTTTAAATTTACCTGACTAAAATGTCCAAGAACAGTTTTCAAAGCATCCTCATGTGTGTCAAATTTAGTTGTATCAAGCGGCAAGACAAGTACATCAATGTCAGAGCCATATTTTCTGCCAGCTCCAAGTTCTAAACAGAAATTAAAAGTGGAATAAATGAAGACTTCCATGGTTCAAAACCATCCGAAAATTCAATAAAATAATCATTTATACTCAGAACAATCTTGTAAGTTGTAACAGGTCTGATAATGCAATCTGGGTCACTGCCCGCAAAATTATTTGGCAGCTTGTGAATTTTTGCATGTGTAGCTAATTCAATGGTCAGACTAGCTACAGTCACCCTTCAATGCCTTCGTCAAAGGGAGCTAGTGGTTGTCTGGTTAATCCAGACTTGACTATGTTCTAATAACTATTGCGCAATTTCATTGTTTACTTACGAGAATCTTTACACAGCAAGATGAAATATCCCCTAGTTCATTTTTATACTCACTATGACATTTCTCTTTCACCCTTTCGAGCTCCTGTTGTCTTCTTGCAGAGAGAACTAAGTTACAACCAGCACGAGCGAGCTCGTACGCTAGGTGCTCCCCTATACCACTCGAAGCTCCAGTGATCCATACAACTTTACCTCGCATTTCTTTGAGATTTCTACCGAATAATTCGTAATACTTCAACGTTAGATCCACTTCAGCATACTTGTAATGAATTACAAGCAACAGGACGATAAATATTGCAATTAAGAAACACATTTCGCGATTTTATTAAAATATAAGGAACTAAGGAAGTAAAGTGTTTATAAATTATAATTCGAACAATGAAATGAATGAATTCGAAGGATATATTGGGATACATGGTGTTAGTTAATTTACAAGAATCAAAATTAAATGTGGCGCATTGTCCGGTTCACTGATTGGTCCACGCAACACGGAGAGCTGTACTGTGATTGGCCTAGGGACCGCTTGCAATTTTGTCATAGGGATAGGGGATGCTTGCATATAGGGGTCACCTGCCCTGCCCCTCCTGTGGTAGACGGTTATAATGCAACGGAGATTAACGTGGATTTTTGTGAGATAATTAACTTAGAATATACCCCAACATTCAAACATCTGAGCCTCAAATTAACCAATGCAGTACAGCTTAGTGGCAAATATAATCGAGAAAGAATACTAATATCTTTTTGGTATTTGAAGATAGGATAGTCTGTAGGGTCAAATGGATAAGCCGGTGGATAGTCAAAAGGAGAATTAGTAAGATTAGACAATCCCAGTTTTCTTCATTGTTGAAGAGAAGCTTCTTCATTGCTCGACTAATTTGAGCAACGAAAATGAAGTAGCAACGATTACAAGTATCCATTTGATATTGAAATATAAATCAGCCACTTCATATGTAAACCATGGCACCATGCTTGAGTTGTTTCAGCACATTCTTCTGGGAATTATACACATTGCGGAACACGATCGTCACAAGACGGCTGAACTGCGTCATTTGTGTCAACAAAAACAAGCTATTTCAGTTCCTTTTCAGCGAATCATTGATCAAAACCATCCCAGACATCGACACAGCTAGACTTCTGAAAGCAAATTCGTTCTCTCTTCGACGAGTCTATCTGCAATAACAAAGACAGTCGCACAGATCAACGACGATCTTGTCTGAAAAGCATTATGAATTCTCGAGTGCACTTCGCCGTCCTGAGCTTGATCTGGTTGGTTATCCTGTGTGACAAAACGCATGCATTTTGTGGTAAGAATATGCAGCATTTTAGCCGTTAATTTCGTAAACATTTCTTAACACAGGCGAAATTGAAAAACTAAATTCGTATAGACAGCGACTTAGTCGTTGAAACCGAAACAGACTGTAAGTATATTGTCGAGCAATGTATTGTTCATAGGATCAAGTTCCGGCAGAAAATTTAGAGCTTTCTGTTTGTCAGTTCGCTGGCTATATTACTATTGAACGTTTCTTCCAATTCTTCTGCAATGGGATGCCCCATTAATTCCACTTATTATTACACCAAATCATTCTTAAACGAATAGCTAGAGGCTCAAAACAACAGCTAGCTCTTTTGATCTATTGTTTACGTTTTATTTTTAGACGCACCAAGTGAGGATCTGAGTGCTGACCTAACCCAGGCCGTTGTTCGTTCCTCAGACTGGTTGAGGAAAACATATCGCGAGAACACCACGGTCCTTCGTCCCTATCGAGCTGGGTCGTTATTCGCAACGCTCAGAATCGCTGGCCACTATCCGGACACCTTGCTTTCGGAATTCAAAGACGGACAGGGCTTTTCGATCGACGAAACACTGAAAAATTATCTTTATTCTGTGCAACAAAGCCATGGAAACCTATCAAGCATTGCTCCTCCCCATCTTGGGCTCATTATTCAAGGAGTGGTGTCGATCTGTCAGGACCCCGAGAATTTCCATGGCTACGATCTGATACAACCCTTGCATGACGGGTTTTCCAAGTTCAAAAAGCAAGCGGATTTCAATAATTACTTCGGGTATAGTCTGGCAGTAATTGCGTTGTGCAACGCAGATCATATCGTCCCGGATAGCATCATCCAGGAGTTGATTGAAGGCGCGAAAAGAGTTGTGTCGTATCATTCAGTCGACACAGACGCGTTAATTTTGACAGCTCTGTCATGTGTCAGGACCTCTAATAGCTCCCTGCAACACGAAGTGGACAGATCATCTCATGAACTTGTTGAAAGCTTAATTTCAATGCAAAATAATTCAACAGGGGCATTTGGAAATCAATATTCAACTGCTCTTGCAGTCGAGGTATGTTATGCCACTTCTTTGTTTGAAAACTGATAAAACCTTTGTTTTGTAAACATAAAAACATAATGTTGTGGTCATCTTGTGCTTATATTTTAGCCAACATTTAGGATTGTCGAAATATAATTCAATTCATTATATCTTTTGTTTTTCTTCATGAAATCAGTCGAAATTTTGTGATTATGTTCAGTTGCAAGTACTATAGCTCTGACATAAATTTCAAGAGATAGTAAGTTGTTTCAGTCGAGAAATTGTCCTTTACACGAAGACCATATCGGTCCTTTTTCGTCAGATCACCTGGTAAGGGTAAGGATTCTAGGAAAACTACCCTTAGGGCAACTTGTTGAAACAGGATTTGCGTGTTGATCATGATAAGTTGAATTTGGAAGTACAGAAAACAGTATATTTAAAGTAGGATTGGTGAACAAAGGATGCTAAATCAGTCAATTTTTTAAACGATTTTACGTTCCTTATTAAGGCTCTCCAGGCTGCCCGCGTTCATACAGACACTTATGAATGTGAAAAAGCGTTAAGAAACATACTTTCGTATCAAGGACAGGATGAAGAAGGGTCATTTGGATCAATTCTGGCAAATATTCAAGTAACTCCCGCTCTCTTGGGAGAATCACTCATCAGTTTAAAAGAATACCATTGTCCCGCAGGTAAGCGAGAGAAAATAGCCTTGGCCGATGTGAATTCACCTTCTTGATATCACCTGTCGCAATGGACCCAGATTTCTCGCGTTATCTTGTCCAAAACTAAGGCGTTGATAAGACTATAGTTGTTTAGATATAGTGCAAGGATGCCCTCGCCCAGGATATCGAATGACCATCCATTATAACACTAGCTCAAACGTCTTGGATTTAAAGATGCATTACAGAATCTTATTTGATAATGTTGTCTATTTTCATTTCTTTATAGCGCCAACACCTTCTCCCACTCCACAGGTATCAAGTCGTTTCACTTTTGAAAGCACAAGTCAACATCACTTACAAAATTGGCGTTTTTTGCGCCAAGGTTCATCAAAAGTACCCACACAATTCGTTTAAATACTTAACCAAAGTTTTATAAAGATGTCACCTGAATACCCCACCTAGAGTAGCTACGAATCGCCGAAAGTCGCTCTGTACCACCAATGGTCCCTCAGGAATGCTTAAAACGCATGATTTTTAAGTACCCCGTCCGATCTTATTAGCGTCCGATCATAAGAAACATTATTCCTCTTTTTTCTTCAGGTGATCACAGTTAGTGTGGAGCTCGTTTTCAAGGTAGCGCCAGAGAGAACTGAGCCTGAGGTGTCTGTCAACATAACTGAGGGTCAAACAGCGTACAACGCTTTAGAGTTGGCGAAATTGCAGAATCCTTGTTACAATGCCACGTATAAACAATATTCTTTCGGCCGTTCCATTACCAGTATCTGTGATGTTTCCTCCGACGGTAGTAAAAGTCAATACTGGTTGATCGACGTGAACGGAAAATCTGCCAAGTTTGGCGTAGATGGATTGAAACCAAAAGATGGCGACCTGATTACATTTAAATATGTAAAACTGAACTAGTTTAGATAGTCATAACTGTCATTGAAACGCATTGATTACAGCAAACAGATTAACAAAAGAGATTTAAATTGGAACAGTTACGGATAACAACTCGTCAAGTGAAATTATAGTCTAAAGACGAAGCTTTGCATGCTTTAATTGAAGAACATAAAGTTCATCGCGACAAAGAACAGTGTTCCGGGAATTGAACCCAGTAACCGTGTGTACAAGTCAGCTTCCATTAGACCATTATGTTTTCTATTCTGAGGGCGTTTACGTCAGACATTAAAGTCTACTGGGTTGCGAAAATATTCTAAACTTTTTATCGAGTATAACGAGACATACCAATTATGCGGATATAAATTGTCAACAGAAATGTTTAGCTTTCATGCAATTTTAGTCGTGAAAAGTTCAATTTTCGTATGGAAAACCAACCGTAAACACGCTTCCGAACACACGGACACTGTTTTTTTACGAGGGAAACCAGAGTGCCTGGAGAAAAACCCTCACCGAAAGCCGGAATTAAACACAAAGTACACAAGTTTGAGATTTTATTAAAACAAAGTCATGTATTACAACAAAGTCATGTATTACAACAAAGTGTGTGTGTGTGTGTTAAAGATATTGAAATCAAGAGAGAGGAGACGGACAATTTTGGTCCTATTTTTATTAATACTTCACTAAACGTGTATTACAAAGCGTGTGTGTTTTCTTTACATAGTACATCATTAATAAACGAAGACACTGATTAAACTATTATATATTACATTTAAATTTATAGAACAGTGCAGGTTAAATGTTAATGTGGCATACTTTAGTGTAAATTGTTCATGTCTTTTTACAGTGTGCTATTGTGTTTGAGTAATGTTTAAGACTGATCATGCAGTGAAACATGCATTAATGTGAGTAAGTGTTTCTAAGTTATCGTGTATATATTTTTTTGTTCTATTATTGACTTAACCCACTAACTCTGGTAGAGAACTGAATAAAGCTTATGAGATCGACGAACTAATATAGTAATACATAAAAATGCCCGAGTTCAAAGCGCTTAGATTCAAGTTACGTTCGTCCAAAAACTAAAATTATTCTGCTGACAAATCATAGGCAGTGTTCCTAATAGTTTCGTTTTAAGCTGTCAAACTGTGCACACATATTTCAAGGATCGAGTTAACTTGAAGATACTTCATGGGCCCTTATAGAAACAGCATGAAGGCATACACAATTGTCCTTGAAAACTTCATTGCACATTTCAGAGCTGAGGCATATAGCCAGAGCATGCTGCCCTTGTAGAAACAAGGTTTGGAAAAAAAATACCACAAGAAATTGACTATATATTTTTGAGGCTGAGGCATATAGCCAAAGCAACAAACTGTCAAAACCAAGTGCAGCATCAATTGTAAATATTTTTTTTTGAAAAAATTCAGTCAACATTTTTTGAACCATGCAAGGGATATTCCCGAAGCAAGCTGCCCTTATAGAAACAGCACCAAGAGTACAGAGAAACTGGACTTATACTTTCAAAGCCAAGGCATATAGCCAAAGCAAGCTGCTCTTATAGAAACAGCCACAGGAGTACATTTTTTTCTTTGAAAATCTGGTTTAAAAACTTTTAGAGCTAAGGCATATAGCCAAAGCAAGCTGCTCTTATAGAAACAGCAATGAAAAAACTGCAACGTTATTAGATATCCCAAGATACCTGCTAACACTTCGAACCACATAGCAAAGTCAAACAGTACAGACAAAAAGTGGCGCCTTACTTTTCATAAGCACTGCTCGACGAAGCTAAATGATTGGAAATCTCAGAGACCTTGGAAAAATAATAAAGTTACAATGCCACTGCCAATGTTTGTCTCGTAATTGGTTTCTAACTATAGTAGAAATAAGGCATATATCGTTTCAAGATAACAGCATGCACCCCCCACCCATTCCTTATTTTCTTCAAGTAAATTCAAATTCATTAATTGAGAGCATGTGTGTGTTAACTTTGATTGCATGAATTTATGTATTTCAGAATAGCAAGACAGTATAAGACATGCCGTAAAATCAATGTTTCTGGCTTGAATATTAACTGTAGCCTTAAGTGAATGCAAGAGATAAGAGAGATATAAACTAGAAGCCATTATATAGGCCATGGTTTGCATCAATGTATTTACTCGTGTGCGTGTCTATTTTATGTGCAGCTACAAGATCATGAGGTATAGTGCATGATGTTTTGTATCTGTTCATATTTTGATATAAATCATGTTTTTCATAAATACATACACAATATTATATGTTCAATTACAAGATATAGTAAGGCAAGATATAATCTATATTTACAATGTTTGCTGAGAAATCAAAAACGTATATATTTACATACAAACAATTTTACAACCAGACCGAATAGTGACCCCATAGTTATCATTTTATGATGTTAATTCCGAAAGCCGCAATTGACCGGATTTCAAGAGCCGAAGATGATTTTAATCAGGACAAGATAGAGAAAGAGGAAAGAACCTACGGGATTATGTCTGCCATTTGTGGCTGTGATTTGTGTTAGTGTGTATGGCTTTTTAGCCATTTCTTAGGTGAAATATGGGTATATATAACAGTTGAATGTGATATGTTTTAAGTTTTAACAGACAAATTATCAACCTAAACCTTAGCGCAGCGGCAGCCCTAAGCACAGGCGAGCAGTCCTAAGCGCAAAACCGATTAAAATATTTAACCGAATTTAAGAAACATTTGCTCACATGCATCATGCATTAGCTATGTTCCTGGTGGCCAGAACTTAGTTAACTGAATTTAAAACTTTATTTAATTAACTTAAGTTCGTTAACTAAATTAGTTAACTTCGTTAAGTTAATCATGCACTAACCCCTGCATGCACATTTTTTGACCACCAGGCTACTCTAACCTGTAACGATGCCCGGGCATCGCTGAACGTTGCTTTTTGGCGTCGATTTGGCGTAGTTTTGGCGTATATTAGGCGTCCAGTTGGCCTACATTAGGCGTAGATTTGCCGTCGAGGTTGCCTACATTAGGCGTAGAGTGCCGTCGAGGTTGCCTACATTAGGCGTAGAGTGCCGTCGAGGTTGCCTACATTAGGCGTAGAGTGCCGTCGAGGTTGCCTACATTAGGCGTAGAGTGCCGTCGAGGTTGCCTACATTAGGCGTAGAGTGCCGTCGAGATTGCCTACATTAGGCGTAGAGTGCCGTCGAAGTTGCCTACATTAGGCGTAGAGTGCCGTCGAGGCTGCCTACATTAGGCGTAGAGTGCCGTCGAGTTGGCCTACATTAGGCGTAGATTTGCCGTCGAGATTGCCTACATAAGGCGTAGAGTGCCGTCGAGGTTGCCTACATTAGGCGTAGAGTGCCGTCGAGGTTGCCTACATTAGGCGTAGAGTGCCGTCGAGGTTGCCTACATTAGGCGTAGATTTGCCGTCGAGGTTGCCTACATTAGGCGTAGATGCCGTCGAGGTTGCCTACATTAGGCGTAGATTGCCGTCGAGGTTGCCTACATTAGGCGTAGATTTGCCGTCGAGGTTGCCTTACATTAGGCGTAGATTTGCCGTCGAGATTGCATACTTTAGAAGTAGATTTGCCGTCTATTTGGCTTGTCGGTAATAGCTCAACAAAGCCCATCAACCTGAAATAAGATTAAAGAAATAAGCAAACTACATTTTTTATTGAGAAGCCCAACACGCGTAAAATCGGGATTATAAACAGACCCAAAACAACATCTATAAAACCTCTCTGGGATTTCAAGTATTTCCTTGCCATTATTCATATTAAATTATCATGCGGCCGTTGTCGTTCTTGACCTGAATCATGCATAAACTCCCCATTGTTCGGTTTATCTAAAAATGTTTAATTGCTTAATACTCACGTTTTATTATGAACAGGTTTTGTCGTTGTTTCAAATAGCTTGACCCGCTAAATCGCTACCTGCAATAAAACCAAAAGAATGCTTGTTATAGACAGCGATTTCAAGGATTTACCTTAGATGAAGGGAGCTTATATCGGGAGGGTTTGATTATTCAGTTGAGAGAACGCATAATGCCTGGTCGAGCGTTTCAAGTTTTCCCATCCTATTTTGAATAAAATAGACCCAAAATTACCTGTTCATTTCAGCAACAAGTGTTGAAGAGCAGCTTTGGACTTGCCGTCTCTTTAAATGCGAGTCATCTCGGGGAATTTCAGCTATGGGTTTTCTTTCCCAGCTAATTTCTATATTCGGTTTGGTTTTAGCTTTTAAACTCCACCTGGAAGAACAAAAGGCAATGTTAGTTACTGGTTTGGTCTTTATAACTCAATTCAAAGGTAATTGCTTGCGATTGGAGCAAAGGTTAGGCATGCACCATTAGTTCACTGCTTAGGTCTTCAGAACTCAATTCAAACGTAATTTGCGTGTGGTTAGAGGGAAGGTTAGCGGCTCAACGGTATAAGATTTGACGTATATTACCTTTCTCATATCATCAATATTCCCCAGAAAAAGCCTAGACTTGCTTTCTCTTCAAAGGCGAGTTATCTTGAGCCAGTTCAGCCACAATTCATCGGTCGTCAATCTCTTGTTCACAAATTTCATCGTTTAACTTCGCTTTAATACGTCAAAATTCTGCATGAAAAGAATAAAAGCTGCGTTAGCGCTATACAAGTTTGTATTTGAAGCTGAACACAACACGAGAGAGGGATTACAAGACGTGAACTAAAGACACGTGGAACCTCAGCCCAAAAGCTCACGATGAAACAAGCAGATAAAACACGCAAAGGGAAAGGCATATTACCTGGTATTACACCAACGACAGTCTGTCAGAGATAGTAAACTTCTATTAAACTTCTCTTCTGCTGAAGACGATAGCAATCTGATAGCAATTTCTGTTGAAATTTTCTTGACATGGAGGAGACTCATTTTTATTCTTCGAAGACCAGCGTTGAAATGGTGTCTCTAACTGGAATCAAAAACACATATTCATTTCACCCGCTCCTCGTGTCTGCAAAATAAAGTCATCCTATTGGATGAACACTCCCGACCTGACAGCTCAACAACGCTTCTGATTGGACGTTCATAGTAATTTAAATAACATGATTAATTCTCTTCTCCTAAGCCTGAACATCAGAAATGAAAGGAAAGAATTAATCATATTATTCAAATTACTATGCTCGTCCAATCAGAAGCAATGTTGAGCTGTCAGGCCGGGTATGTTCAGCCAATAGGATGACTTTATTTTGCAACACGAGGAATGGGTGAAGTAAATATCTAGCTTTGATTCAACGTTGCCACATCACAACATGGGTAACACGGAGTCGGAGTTCCGGAGCCGGAGTTTCGGAGTCTGACGTAATAATATTGGAAAACACGGAGTCAAAAACTATGGAAAACACGGAGTCAACGTAAATTATACATATATTCATAAATGAAGGATAGTTTTTAAGTCTATACTAATCTTTTATACCACAGTAATAGTATACAAGAAAGAATACACAATAACAAAAGATTATAGCTATAATGCCTCTTGCTCAATGTCATAGAATTATTGTTGTAGTTAACTATATTACGTGTCCTTATATCACTTTAAATCACACCATAACTGCCACATCCAATTTCCTCTTTGTCTACAATATCCTCCCATTTAAATTGAGGAATATTATTTATGTTTAAGGATAAGTTTTTCGGTCGTTTATTTACCATTTGCGGAATAGCAAAAACGTTACGCGAATTTGACGCCATGTTGTTTAAAACACGCTATCAAATTTGCATAATTCACGTTGAGTCATTGACCACTGAGCTTGGCAGACTTCCAAACATTTATACTCCGTGTTTCCCATATTTTTAACAGACTCTGTGTTTTCCATAATTTGTGACTGTGTTTTCCATATTATTACGTCAGACTCCGTAATTTTGACTCCGGGACTCCAACTCCGAAACTCCGGCTCCGGAACTCCGACTCCGTGTTATCCATGTTACCGCATGAAATGCAGTTCAGTCATTCACAAGATCTATGAGCGTATTTTTAAACCTTAATTGGCTTAAGCTAAACGCCATTTAAGCTAAACGCCATTCGAACAACCGGCCCCACTGAACCATTAAAAGTCGTGGAAAGGGGCGACGAAAGTAAAAAAAAATATTCATGTCCAGACTTGAACTTAAAAAACCACCCAAATATACTAATAATTCAAGAGCAGATTGTTTCTTCAAGAGATCGTACTTGAAGCGATCATGTTTAGAGAAAGGAAAAACTGAAACCATTTGTATCCCCCTCAATCAAACAAAGGACTCTTTATTGAATGGCTATATTTAGGCGTGTTGCAAGGATATACAAAGTTCCAGCTCATCGCTCGAAAAAGAGTTGACCAAATACGGCCTCAATCTGAAATATTTACAAATACGACAGAGGCAATATTTGGACGAACTTTTACCATATTTGATAAGTAATTGTAGCCTTTGTAGGGTTAAAAAAAATCTGTTTGTTTATTGTTTAACGACTTTAACCAGGCACATGTGTCACTGACGCAGGACACCATCTTTCATCTGAGATTAGGTCGATGAACAACTCTCACATCCCAATGATCCTATATAGTATTTCGTTGCGCACTTTAGTGGCTTTTGAGAGCTTTTCTGCTCCTCTTAAAAGGGAAAGCCAATACCTGTACGAAATAATATTCACGCGAAGACTCCTCAAGCATCTTGACTGATTTCAAGGAAGTCAAAGCATTTTTCAAAAAGATAATTCTCTGTGTATTAAAGAACTGTGCTCAGTCGATTGCTACTGCCTTGGCAAGGACGGTTCAAATTACAAAATTACGTACACGCAGCCATCGAACAGAATCATCGAATTCGGTGATAAACAGCTGAGTTGTTTACAATGTATAAAAACCTACTTTTAAGCTTCTTTTTCGTCTTCTCGTTTGCATTATGTGGTCAGGTGAATTCGTTTTGTGGTAAGGGTTTTATTTACTTTAAACAATTATTGGTAGTATTTATAGACAGGGAGTTTGCAAGCCAGCTATACGACTGACTGAACACTCAGACCTCACGTGAATTTATCATTTTCAAGCCTTGTCAAGTGAAACATTGCACTCGGATCTAACTCAGGCAGCTGTGCGTTCCTCGGATTGGCTGAGACAAATCTACAAAAGCAACTACACTGATCTATTGGCATATCGAGCGGGCTCGCTGATCACCATCCTGCGACTGGCCGGTCATATGCCCAAAACCTTGCTGTCGGAATTCAAAGATAGACGCGGATTTACCATTGAGGAAACACTGAAGAATTTTCTAAATGAGAAGAATGGTGACCTGTCGAGCATAGCCAATCCCCATTTGGCCCGCGTTATCCATAGCGTGTTGGCACTTTGTCAGGATCCGAGAAATTTTCACGGACATGACCTGATAGCCGCCCTCAATTCTGGCTTCGGTCGCTTCAAAAAGCGTCGTGATTTCAGCAATTATTTTGGATACAGCTTGTCCGTGATTGCCCTGTGCAATGCTGGTCAACCGGTTCCGAATGAAGTTGTGCAAGAACTTTTAAAAGGAGCTTATAGGAAAGTCTCGTATCACTCCAGTGATATTGACTCGTTGATTTTGCAAGCTCTCTCTTGTGTCGCCTACAGTCCCTACGCAACAATGGAAAGTAAGGTGTACGAAGCCTCGGATATGATTGTTAGAAGGTTGATCTTGAAGCAGAACAGGACGTCAGGAGCATTTGGCAATCAGATCTCCACAGCGCTCGTTGTCATGGTAGGAAATGATGAAGTTATTCTGCGTTTAGAGCATGACGTGTCCGTTTTTAAATCACAGCAGTTTAGTTTGAAGGATATTCAATGATGTCCCGCGTCAATCTCAAATAATTAGTGGCTGTAACAAAGAAAGGACGGGGGGGAGAGTTTCGGTTGCATGTTAAAGAGTTAATTCAGAGAGAGAGAGAGAGAGAGAGGCGGGTGAGCGGTTTGTTAGAAACTTGAGGATTATTTACATTTTAGTACTGATATGATAGAAAGTATAAGGAAAGGCAGTCAGTTTAAAGGCGGTTTAGCATGGCCTTTTTAGGTGGCCTATTTGGATGTGGTTTTAATCAGATGGCTAATTAACAAAGGGGAAGGTCCTATAAGGAAGAGGGTGGTTTCAAATATGGGGGGGAAGGTTCACTTCACTATGAAGAGGGTGGGTGGTTACGGAGGGGGTGACTTATGGAGTAGTCTTTGTGGATTGTCATAAGGTAGGTAGATGATTGCGAAGAACAAATTTGGAGAAAATAAAAATGAACAACTATCCTACGTTGTCGTTCCAGGCCCTTCAAGCAGCCCGTGTCCACACGGACAGTTATTACTGCGACAAGGCGATGAGAAATATTCTGACTTATCAAAATGATGAAGGTTCATTTGGATCAATTCTGGCGAACATTCCCGTCATTCCTTCACTCTTAGGCCAATCGTTTATCAGTCTGAAATATCTTTCCTGTCCTGCAGGTAAGCAAAGGTCGCCATCGCTGACATTATTCAGGGAAGTCAGTTATTAAGTACCCTCGGTGTAAAGTAGATTCTCTCCTGTACTTGAGGGGTTTTCTCCTGGTCGTCATTGGTAACCACTTATCCTTTTTACGTGCGAATATTTTTTTCCTTATTAGAGCGAACTTTTGAGCATAGTTTCCAATTACGTTCACAGATTTTCATTATCTTTCTGTACGTTTTGAGATATTTCGGAACAAATATAGACACCGCCCTTAACCATGTTAGACCTTAGTCTGCTGACTCGAAAGAACATCACATATGAACACACTTACCTTTATAGAGAGACCTTAGGAAAAGAATTGCTTTACTATACATTGTTAATGTACTTTAAAGCACGCTTTTCTTTGGTCTATTTTTTGAAACTTACAGCGAAAACTCTTTAACAGTTTTTTCACAACATTCTTTTTCAGAGCAAACCTCGACCGTGGAACCGCCACCGGTAAGAACCAGAATGCCCCAAATGCATTAAAATAATGGATAATCGCGTATTATCCATTGTTTTAATGCAAATTCAAAGAGCTATGTTTACCATGGTCAATAACGTGCACACGACAAGAATTTTTGAAATTAATTTCTGTAATATTTGTCGAAGTTCCTGGGTATGCAAGTTATTATACTTTATATTAATCTACCCCTGGCTATATCCTCAATAAATAGCTCCTGAATTTCCTTGAGTACACAAAATATTACCTTGAAAGTAAAGCAGGCGATGTGAACTATTATAGTCTGGTATTCCTCATTGAATACACAACAATAGTAACTCCGAATAAAGTAAGCATTTTGATTCAACGTTTCGACTTTATTTAGTCAGTTGTTCAGCCACTTTATTTGAATCAAAATGCTTACTTTATTCGGAGTTACTATTGTTGTGTATTTTATGAAAATACTCAGAGGTTCCCGCAATTATTCCTCATTGCCAAAGAGAGAATTTGGAGTGTTTATTCCAACTGAATATACTCCACATATTTGGTTAGGAAATCATTGTTATTCATCAAAATTTTATGGTCTATTTTAGATTGTAATGATTCACATTCAATTGCCATTCAGCTACCTTTTTGTTTTACACTCAATTAATTTGTCAAGAGATATCAGTTTATTCATTCAATCATGTCAAAAAATGACCTAAGGGAAAATATCTTGTATGATTGATTCCCTTTCAATTTCAGATCATCAGAGTTCATGTACAAATTGTCTTCAACACAACCAATCTGAGAGTAGAGCCAATAGTACCTGTAGAAATGCCACTTGGCAAAACAGCGTATGATGCCTTAGAGCTGGCGAAGTTGCAAAATCCTTGCTACACTGCAACATTTGCGAAGCTATCTTGGGGGAGATCCATCACAAGTATATGTAGGGTTGCTAAGAATTGGAAGCTCGGCTACTATTGGTTAATATGGGTCAATGGCCGCAAAGCTCTTAGTGGGGTCGATGGTATCAAGCCGAGAGATGGTGATACTATTACTTTTAAATACGAAAAGATCACTCTTTAGCGATAGCAATGCCATTCAGAGCAATGAAATATTTGAACTGTATTATGCAATAAAATTAATTAACATGTAGTTCAGACAATTACATTGTAATGTTTTGTCCAATACAGAATTTTGATACAAACTAATGAGGTTTATTATTATTAATCATACCCTTTTCTAGACTACTTCATACAAAAGTCAAATACAACATTGTATCACTACCATTTTATCTCCTCCCAAGTTATCTGGCGGACAGATTTTCCTCACAGAAGATCTTTGATTTCTTGGGATTCTGCGGAATCTTTGTACGAGTCGCCACTGGGCGATTTTCCATCTTTACTGGCACCTTTTGCTAACAGTAATTTCACACATTCTGTATGTCCTTCGTATATAGCCGCTAGCAAAGGTGTTATCCCATGTTTATCGGGCAAATTCACATCGGCTCCCTTGTTAATAAGATAGTCAATCACCGCATGTTGACCATAATCTGCAGCAAAGTGAATTGGATTTCTACCGTTCATCAGCTCATCATTTACACCGCACCCCTTATTTTCCACAAGCTCCCGAACTTTATCCAAATCGCCGTTCTTCACACCCCAGAGAAACTCTTCTCCCATCGTTTGTTCGTATTGGCAAAGGCGAAGCGACCTGATACCGCGACTCAACAGAAAACTCAGTTCGAAATCTTTAGGAATGCCAGAATACACAAAGAATGTCTTTGCAAAACATTGGAACGACTTCCCGATCATGTTCCATATTGGGGATAACGATGGACATGTGTGGTGAACTATCCCACCTCTATCCCTCTTTCATATCTAATACTCACTAGGATCCATGATTACCTTGAGATACTCATCCAAGTTACTATTTGCCCCCCTCATTTTTCTCGGAAATTTTCAATTTTAGCGAATTTTTCTGTTGTCCCCACCCTCGTCCAAGTCCTCCAACTTTCTGAGAATGCTCAAATTTCCAAAAAAGTTTTCAATGAATGTTTAAGCCTAAAGAAGTAAAAGAACTTTCCTTCCAAAATTTCGAAACACCCACAGAATATTTAAACAAGTGACCTTTGTCCCTATAATTACTTAGATATTTAAAATTTAAAAAGTTTCATTTTCCGACTACTTGTGGGAAAAATTATTTATAAAGACACGTAGTTGTTTATATTCCAAAGTTTAAAATGTCTAGGCAACGAAGAAAGGGTGCTATTGAAGATTTACAATACAATTCGTTTCCTTCAACTAAACCCGCCCAATTAAACGAAACAAGGTATTGTAAAGTGTGGTATTATAAAATTCACGTGAATCATTTATTGTTAATATCAACATTGCTTTGTTTAAGAGAAACTTGAATTTGTTAACGAAAGCAATTTGCTGCATGCCTTGTACAAATTATGATCACGTTTTATTTGTTCAACATATTCAACCTGGCAGATGCTCAAATATTTACCTTTTAAAATGATCTTAATTAGCTGCTAACTGATCCTGATTAATTCAATATGACCCATGCCAGAGCAGACTGCAGATGTCTCCAACTTTTTATTTCAGGGGCATCTTTGGAAAAGTGGTAAAGACCCTGGTCTTGTCTTTGATCATTTTATATTGTTTGCCAGTATTGTTGACATATTTCAGTTCAACTGTTCGACATCAACTTGTCTTTTTAAATTATTGTAAGTAAGTAGTGAGTGTAGTTCAAACCAGTCTACATGCATTGCAAACAAATACACTCAATGCTGTACTGTAAGGCTTTGGCTTGGCCTTCAACTAATAGCCTTCATATTTCCTCAGTAACAAATCCATTTACAAATTATAATAACCTGGCTGAACATGGATTAAAGTCAAGGGCTACAAACTTATATATCACTGGCAATGCTGGGAAGCTAGGAATATGGTAGGTAGTTATGCTAACTATTGCTTCATATTTAAGCATTATGTACAAAGCAAACTTTTTGAAATATGACATGCCAAGGACTATTTATTCTGTTGTTTTTGATTACTTTGGTGAAATGAATGGTGGAAATCTAATTTATTATCAGATAAAGCCAATTTGTCACACAAATTAAACATATGCACCAAAATGTTATCATGCAGGCACATCCTGGCAGAAGGCTCAACAGCAATTAATGATGGTAAACCTGTGGTCTTATACATGCATGGAAATGCTTACTCCAGGTGAAGAAATTACAAGTGAATTATTTAGTGTTTGGGGGGGTTGAAGAAGTCACAAATACCTAAAATACTTTCCTAGAATCCAAGTTCACTATTTCCCCCTTTTTGTAGAGCTGCCAAGCACAGGGTTGCAACATACAAGGTAATCTATTCTTGTTCATTGTAAAGGAAAAACACTGTCATCATTTGTGTGACACAAATAGCAACAATAAAAAACTGGTTCATTGATATCGCTTTTCTTTGCACCTTTTTAACATGCAAAACGACTCATATTTATGGTTAAAATTGTCCCAATACAAACAATTTATACAGTATCTGAAATTTAAGAGCAATTGGTTTGCTTGACAAAAAAATGCTACATATTTCTCTCCCAAGGTTCTATCCGCGCTGGACTGTCACGTGGTTGCACACGATTACAGAGGTACATGATCAGTCTTGTTGGCAAAAAATTCACGTTTGTGATAACAGTCAATTTAGTTGCCTAATGCCTAGGTTTTCCCACGTCCTGAGTTCAAACCAAAAGTAGTAATCTACTTGTTTATAGAACTTAAGTTTTTCTTCAAAATCAATAAACTCAGAGAGTGAAGAGACTGATAATTCGTAAAGTCTATAAACACGTATTTAACACATATATAATTTTTTAAGGATTTGGTGATTCCGAAGGTATTCCTTCCGAGCAGGGTAAGAACTTCAAGTGCAGCGCAAATCAGCTGATTAAGGCTTTGCTCAAATTTTACGTCAAATTATTCAACCTAAAAAACTCGTCGAGGCCTTGTGGGGTAGTTCGATATGAAGTATTTCACGGAACTAAAAGGTCACAAAATTCACTTTTCCAGGAATAATTCAGGACAGTTTAACAGTTTTTCAATGGATCTTGGCAAATACTGACAACGGTCCAGTTTATCTTTGGGGTCATTCATTGGGATCCGGGTACGTGTTGTTGCGTCTAGGAATTCGCACATTAAATTCCACCTTTTTTCAACCTAAAACATGTTTGACGTGAAATGATCTATTTTTGTAGTGTCGCTGTAGCTCTCTCTAAAATACTGACAGAAAAAAGTGAGAAGATTTGTATACATTTGTTAGGTCTTGTAACACAGCGTATGTCATCTCAAACAGACGGATGATTATTTAATTCTTATACAAATCGATATGTTTTTTAAGATATCCCAGTGATGGGGATTATATTGGAGGCACCATTCAATAACATGAGGGAAGGCGCTTTATATCATCCGTTATCCGCAGTGAGTGCTACCAATTTAAAATAAACAATAAACCTATTTTAATTTAAAATAAGTAACTTAGTGCGTAATGTGAATAAAGGCTTCCCCCCTGAAATTCTTTTTCAGCCATATAAGTTTTTGCCGTTTTTCCAAGACGCGTTGCAAGAGATCAATGGCTTGTTCAAAAACGATGAAATGTGAGTTGACAAATAACTACCATTGCTCGACCTAGTGAAAACTAAAGTTTTCAACTACCAGTGATATTATATCTCACGCCAGTCGCCAAAGGACAATTTTCCTTAGTTTCCTATTTAAACTTTTCTTTTCAGAATTACCAGCATAAAGTATGATATATTAATGCTTCACGACCATGGTGACGAAATTGTTAAAATGGATTTAGGGAAAAAGGTGATCTCTTTGTGATATATAACGGTTGATAATATACATCATCTATTATTATCAAGTCGTGGACAGCAATGCCAATGAAGTATTTATTGGGGCCGCCCGCCAAGTCAAAAAAAGAGAAATCTTTTAAAATGTTTTTAAATATGCAAGGGATCCAATGAAGTTGTTTTTCTATTTTGTGTAGTTATATGAAGCAGCTGTAAAGCACAAAAGGGAATACCAAACGATAATATTCAAAGAGTTGCGTGGATACAGTCATACGACGATTTATTCAGCGCCAAATCTGCCGGAAATACTAAGGTAAAAAAAGTCGAACGCAAAAAAAATCATTTGTACAAATACGGACTTTTAAGCGTGTTTCTTTTATTGTAACTACCGCTAGGAACTTTATGAAGCTGGAACAAATTGGAAAGACTAACGCTGATGATTCAGAACAGAGTTAGCTTCTTGCTTAGCATATTATCATGGCTTAATTTATCATTTTAGCAGAGATATTGAATATAGGTTTAAAAGTATGTAGTATATCAACCAATAAATGCTTTGAAGAAAATTTCACTTTTTTGTACAGTCTCGTCTCACGAGCCAGCAATCTTTCTAATCATACTTATTCATACTTCATATTACACATACATTTCTCATCTACTTGTGATATCAACACCAGTTCTCAAAATTCTACATGTTCTCACACAAATTAATACCAGGTGGTAAAAGCCACAGGATTTACTTAACTTCACTCCAGTAACATTGGGCCAGCCAGTCCATCAGCCACGCCGTCATTGCCTCTCACAGCACGTACGATCTCTATACCAAACTGGAACGCCGTACCAGGCCCACGGCTTGTGATCAACTTGCCATCTTTCACCACCCTCTCTTCTGAGTATTTGTAGTCTGGGTGGAAAAATATATGTAAGAAAATACTTGATGCTTGAAAGCATGCTTTGAAGAAAAAAATCATCACCCATGGAATACCTTTGAATTTTTCTTTCACAGAGGGGTACGACGTCACAGTCTTGCCCACGCCTATGCCATGGGCAACGAGTGCTGTAGGACCTAGAAAGACACAATGTGGTTTTCAGAGCCAGACAGATTAAGGCTTTCCAATTTAGGGGGTGGTCGAGATTATATCCTTAGTCTTACGTCAGATCTCATTAAAAGGTCATTGCCAGCCTTGATTTGAAAACCTAAAGTATTAATTCTAGCTGCATCCCATATTTACCAACAATTTGGAAAAATAGTGAGGGGTGTCACCTACCCACTACTTGATATGCCCCTTACTTGCATGCTCTCGTAATTTGCCTTGACACTTGCAATAACTGAATCAAATGCCAAGGCAAATTCACAATGTTCTTACCTTCCTTTAAAAGTCCCCAGGGCAAAAAGCACCAATTCTAAGAGTTGGGTTATCATGTTTCATACATGCTCATGGTAATGGGGGTCAATTAAAGTGATGATCAATCATGATAAACAAATTACCTGCACAAATAGCAGCAATTATACCATCTCTTTGTTCCTGTTCTTTTAACACCTTTTTCACTTCTGCAGACTGTAAATAGTATAATCAATTTATAATATAAGAAATGTGTGTGAAATAGGTGATAGAATGAGTCGAAACTAAAAACATATGTGGAAATAAGTTGTAAATTTCACCAAAGTAAATAAGCTGTAAATTTCATTTCATGTGAATATCTTTCTGGTGATAAACTTTGGTAGAGTACCTGAGATAATTTCTTTGAGCCACCTCCCCCTCCTGGCAAGATCACTGCATCAAATGGTTCCTGGAGAACAAGAGAAATTCTTGAACATACCAAGTTGTGAGCAGCAATACATGCATGATCTTCACAGATGTACCTTCTTACAAGCCTCCTCCAAGCTCATGTCTGGTTTAACAACCACTTGTCTACTACACTGCACAGGGTCGGCACCAGAAAGTCCAGCAATCACTGTTTCAACCTGACAAGCAAAACAGATGGAGGCTCACCTCTGACTTTACTCCTAGACTGAATATAAAACTTGAAATAAAACTACAGGGGGAATATCTTCTAAATAACAACCATTTCTCTACCCTTTTAAATTTAAAAATTATGGTAGACAAGGCATAATTTTAATATATGCAAGGTAAAGTTGAGAACTTGAGACTACCCACCTTACCCCGACGTAAGACGTCTGCAGTTATCACTGCCTCCATTTCTTCCGCACCTTCGGCTAAAATAATCAATGCTCTACCTTTAGTGGTGGCCATATTTGTACAGTACAATTTGTAAACCAGCTTTTAAAGTGAGCAAACGTCGTTAATATGAAAATTGAAAACTGATCAGCATCATACTAAACTACATGAAGTACTTCCAAGGACCTTCACTTCACTGCCCCCCGCAACCACAAAATATCCCTCCGTGTATCCCCCCCTGTTTAGTCAGCTTTCCACCGCAAGACGGGGACGTTTCTGGTTAGAAATGAATACAAAAGACGCGAATTCATAACACGCAGTTTTAATCTGCAGTCTTTTAACTGTGACACAAGGTCAAACTGTGACAAAGTTGAAGGAAAACCCCAACCCCCATCTTTTCTACCCCAACACCCTCATAACACACTCGCACATGTAAAAGTGTAATACTAATTTATATTTTAAAGGAACAAAGTACAACGCGTTTTATTCTAAATCAGACGCAAATATAAAGTATATCTTTACGATACAACCGTGTGAATAACGACAATGAAATATTAAGATGACCTAAACAAAATTTAATGTAGGCTTAGGGCTATATTTATAATGCTGTTGTTCTGTGCACGTAATGTTTAATTCTACGTAGAATATCTACCAATATTCCTATATTTCATCGATATCCAAATCATCCTCGTCATCTTCTGCTTTCTTTTTCTCTTCAGCTAGAATCTTCTTTTTACCTGCGTCCGTAGCGTAAACCACTTCAAGGTCTTCTCCATTTTCCTCCTCTTCCTCGCTCGACTCCTCTTCAGCCTCTTGCAACCACTTGATGAAAGGCGCCGCCTTTTCGTGAATCTGAGAACTCGTCTCCTTGCTTACATATTTCTTGGAAACCTGCAAAAACGATGGCGGGGGTTTAACAAACGGTCGAAGCAAAGCCAGGCAAAAGTTTTATTTCATATTACCTAAGAATGTGGTTGAAATGTTCATGAAAGCTCACCTTTGCAGCCCACTCTAGCAAAACCTCTTCTTCAAGGAAATCTTTATTATAAAGCAGTTGAAGAAGTCTCGGAATTTTAGGCATCAGCTTTTCTGGAAATGACTTGCCGACAAGCATCTCAAATGCTCCAAGCAAATGTTTCTGTGCCTTCTGGTTGCTGGTCAAGAACTAACATGAAAAAAAGCAAAAAAAATTAATGCATGTGATGGAAAAAAGGGTATTAAATTCAATCTAATTTGCAAGTAAAAGCAGTTGTCTTTATCCTGGAAAAACTTTTATTTTTACCTTCTTAAAAAGGACGGAATGTTGTGAGATTTGGTTAGCCATGTCCTCTGTAAACAGCAATTCAGCAAGAACCAGAACAGCTTTGTCCATCACTTCAAGGCGTTCTGCCTCGGCTACGATAGCTTTAGCAGCAAAATCATTCAATTTCTTTTTATTCTATACGCAAAATAAAGCAAACGAGTTCAGCCCAAACACAAGACTTTTGCATATCAAAATATCAGGGTGACTTGTTTATTGTAGAATATTTTCCTTTCGAAATTAACAACTCCATAAATTCCACACCTCAACAAAACTGTAAAATATTTGAAGTCGCTGTTGTTCGGTGAGTTCTAGATCTTCATTCATGGTCAGGCCTTTAGTTCTCATTGATAAACCTTCCAATTCTCGTTTCTTGACAGCAGCCTCGCTGGTATCTTCACTCCAGTCATCATCTCCAAAACCATCCTACACAATATGAAAACCGACATTCTTGGAAAATTACCTTCGATATGATGAGTTACAAAGGGAAATCCATTTTTGGGATTATCTTTATAGTTTTAACAGTTGAAGGGCAGAACATACAGATAATAAATTCATGCATGTCTTCTTTGATTTTTTTAAGACTGAGAAATTTCTCTAAATCTAGATTCACAAAATCTTATCAGACCAACAAAGAGTAGAAAATAAGGCTAACAAAACTCAATCTATACTCTAGATAGATTTGCCTCAGAGGTTTCTATTCCATATCCCTCATTTTTTGCACAGGACAATTTTGATATTAGCAAAAGTACAGTACCATTATGCAATGAAAATAAATATCTTACCGAATGGGCAGTTGGTGTGTCAACAACAGGCAACACATCAGCTTCATTCGAATCATGACTGGGACTTGTGCAGCCATTCTGTGTTGACTGTGCATTACTTTGTCCCTTTTTATCACGTCGATTCTTCTTGTCTCTAGACATGAGAATGTAAGACTCCAGTCATTGGTGCTAAACTTTAATCAACCTTAACTATATTCTTGCTGAATTCCAACTAAAACACAGCAATGACTACCAATACACAGCAATTGTTTCCTACGTAGCACACTTACTTCTTTGATGGTGTCACCGTATCCTCTTGTCCCGGGGGATTCTTGAGGATAAACGTGATGAGACGATGGGCAAGGCTTATTACCCCTGAATATCCACAGGCAATGCATGTTTGACCAATTCTTTCTTTCTTTATTTCAACATGCTTTAAAATTATAGCAGAAAAATATATGAACCACAACATAAACTTGTAAACTTAAATGTATGTTTTGAGTATAGCACTTCTATCTATGCATACACAATCATGGCCATATGATGCAACAGTTCAATGTTTTGCTATGTGATGTTTGAGTGTAGAGTATGAGAGAAGCTTACCAGCAAAGTCTCTGGATTTTCACACTCTGGGCACAGTACAAACTTCTGAATAAAATCATCCAAAATATCTTGCAATTTATCGCCATCGTGAGCACCATTCACAATGTAACGTTCGTTCTTGAGGTCAATTTGGGTCTGAGCACCCAACTCACAGCCGAAAAACTTTGTGGGATCTGCATAAGTATGTGAACAAACCTTCAAAATGCTGCCTACTTTTTCTCTATGTTCATGGCTTTAAAGCAAGCATCTCTAACTGGAGGGTACTTATGGAACATTGTCATAATGCTAAGATAGAGGTTCAACTTTGACTATCTTAGATTATTTTCTGAACTTACAAGCAGGAGGTCTTTTCAAAGACTTTCCAATATCCACCATGTTCACAATCACAGTCTTGATACCATTTCCCTTACCTTCAACCTAAAGATATTTGAATTCTTCAATGGAATGTTGTGGCAAAAGGCAACAGCATGTGAACTCTCGTTGGTCTTAAATAAACTCAAGCAAATATACTTGCATATGACATGTGCAACACACCTTAGCTAGGAGTTTGGGCATTTTGTATCTGTAAAATTGATCCGTGTTCTTGCGATTAACATTGACCATTGCCATGATGAGTCAGGTTTTGAATACGAACGACTAGTAGACAAACACAGTTTGTGATCGAAAGTTTGAAAACCACACTTTTTCTTGAACTTTTTCATACAACTTCTGTTCGCAAGCCTCTGTAATTTACAGTTCGCCTGTTGGACGCCTTGTAAGTATATCTTCCTTCTTCGTGGAATGACGATCCCTTTACCTTGATACAAGAATAATTGAAAATATGGCCCCCTTAATACTCCTATATAAGATTGCTGGATAATATAGAACAGTAAAGATTGCTGGATAATATAGAATAGTAAAGATTGCTGGATAATGTAGAATAGTAAAGATTGCTGGATAATAAAGATTACTAAAGATTGCTGGATTGGACAAAGCCTTAAATGTGTCCCTGGTTGTATGTACACATGCCAAGATTGTGTTTTGGCTTGGGCATGGTTTAAGATGTTTTTTGCCACTTTTAGAAACAAAAAATAACAGGAAACCTATTACAATTTAATACATTTCCAAATACATCCTCTTTGCAGACAAAATAACTTGTGTTTTTAACATGCCCAAAAGCAATGTATTCTGGAAATTTTAGGAATTTAGTACAGTTCACAAACTAGCTGAATGTTAAGGGGAAAGATTCTCTGAGTTTTTCAGAAATGTTTTGTGCAGAAAGTAGGCTGCATAATCTTGTCCAACTAGAACTCATATCAATCTGACATGATGTCATTGTAAGCTATCAGAAGAATTTTGAAGGCTGTCATCATTTTGCATGATGCAAGAGAGAATTTACCTACGAAAAACCTACATGAAAAACCTACTGGTATCAATAATTGGTCAAAGCATATTAAGTTATCACTGGAAAAGATAGAAGGTTGTTTAGAAATTCTTCAATGTTCAGCAAAATACTTTAGCCTAGGTTAAAAAACATATTCAGCCATAACTTTTTTCCATATTGACATTGTGAATACCTAATTTTTCCCCGTTCTATATATTGCGCTATGAATTTTCCAATGAAGGCAAAAAAAGAAATCTAAATGTGAGGTCAAAATGCTTTTAAGAAAAGACCTTGGGTGTCAGCAATTTCATATTTGGATATCAATCAACTTGTCCGACATATTAACCTTTAAATCCTATCAATATAGTAAATCTCTTTGTTGTAATTTTGTATAATTAACAAGATGGCGCAATAAACCAAATATTTTTGCCTAATTTTCCGCTTCAAAAAGCCAAAATACTGTTGAAATTTAACAATCAAATGAGACAAACACTTTATATTTCCTCAAAACCTGAAACTTGACTCACCTTTAGTGCACAACAACGTCATAAAAAACTTCTGAAGTGGTCGAAATTTCTGATGTAATAAACGCTTGTGTCCCACGCTTGTATCCCTCGCGAAATATCGCTAAAACTAAAGAAAAATAGAAACAAGTTTACGTCAAGTATATATCTGAAACTACCTTGAAAACTTGCTGCACAATTTGAATGAATAAAAGTAAAAAAAAGTCTTTAAAATGTGTATTAAGTTTACCTTTCTTTGCCGAGCAAAGACAAATATGGTAACAATGGCGAATTTATTTTGTCATGCCTTAAAATCGGGTTCGTTCGCACGGGCGTGTGCAGGTCGAGTTTGTGGACATTGTGGAAGTATGTGGATATTGTGGGAGTATGGGAGCAAATGTTGACAAATTCTCCGAAATTACCTTTCCTTTCCCTTAATATCCTTAGTATCATCGACGAAATTGGCGATGGGCTATAAGTACAAAACTGGACTAGTAAAAACCATATTCCGGTATCATACTCCTGTATATCCGACCATCGTCGAGCATACCATATTCCGGCATATTGGATCATAGTCAAGTATACCATATTCCGGTATATTCGACCATGGTCAAGTATATCATATTCCGGTTTATCCGACCATGGTCAAGTATACCATATTCCGAAATATAGACCCCATAGAGGTGTTGACGTATGGTTCAAAATCTTGCACCACTCCCAAAATACCAAAATGCTGGATCCGTCCCTGGTTAGGGACTGGGTTTAAGAAGAAATCTTTCGTGCGCCTATAAACACGATGAGAATCATAGATATCTTAGACTATAGATATCTATGATGACAGCATAAAGATTATTGTATGGATGACAGTCCCAACAGTCCCTATAATGGTAGTCATGTAAGTTAGGGAAATTGGCCATGTAAAGTGGAAGTTTGTAGCAGGTAAAAATAAAATATTGCTTGTCAACAGTCATGGCGGAGCCTGAAGATGACAAACTTCAAAGCATAGCTGTTGTTTCAGATGGTAAGCCTCCTAGTGTAGCTACGGTCAGGTCAGACGGAGAGCTTGATGATCGGGAAAACAAGCAAGCCGTCAATCCCGAAGGTTTTGTACAAGAAAACGAAAAAAGAGTAAAATTTGACTCGGTGGATTTGGACGATTTTAGTGCGAGTGAATATACAGACGATGATGGTGACGACGAAGGTGACGATGATAGCATTTTTAAGGACAGTAAACAGAGAAGAAAAAGATTAAAAAAGAAGAAACCAAAGCATGTTGTGATCGAGGACGATAGCAGCTCCGATGATGATAAACAGGCTGTTAATACGAATGTAAATCCGGTAGAGTTTGATAATTTCTCTGGAATGTTCGTTCCTTCCCCCTGAGTTAGCATGGAAGATTCTAAGTCCAAAAATGATCAATTTAAATTTGTCGCATTAGTCTGCTACCCGGTTATTCTCCAAATAGCAATGGCAGATTTAGGGGTACACTTCCAGTAACAATGACAGAATTAGGGGGGTTACAACTCCCAGTAACAATGACAAAATTAGGGGGGTACAACTCCCAGTAACGATGACAGAATTAGGGGGGGTACAACTCCCAGTAACGATGACAGAATTAGGGGGGTTACAACTCCCAGTAACGATGACAGAATTAGGGGGGTACAACTCCCAGTAACGATGACAGAATTAGGGGGGTACAACTCCCAGTAACGATGACAGAATTAGGGGGGTTACAACTCCCAGTAACAATGACAGAATTAGGGGGGTACAACTCCCAGTAACAATGACAGAATTAGGGGGGGTACAACTCCCAGTAACAATGACAGAATTAGGGGGGCTCAGCTCCCAGCAACAATGACAGAATTAGGGGGGTACAACTCCCAGTAACAATGACAGAATTAGGGGGGTACAACTCCCAGTAACAATGACAGAATTAGGGGGGTACAACTCCCAGTAACAATGACAGAATTAGGGGGGTACAACTCCCAGTAACAATGACAGAATTAGGGGGGCTCAACTCCCAGCAACAATGACAGAATTAGGGGGGTTACAACTCCCAGAATTAGGGGGGTACAACTCCCAGTAACAGTGACAGAATTAGGGGGGTACAACTCGCAATAACAATGACAGAATTAGGGTACACCTTGCAGTGAATTAAATATTTCTATTTCAGTCTGATTTGACATGGCTGTTGTGGATGTGGTATTATGTTAGAGCTGTCTCAAGTGGAGCACTGAAAGGTATCATTGACTTCAATGACTTGTATTACATATTATTTGTCACTAACACAAGCAACAATTTTTCAATCTTCAGCTGCAGAATTTCTTGGTGAAAAGTTAGCATCATTCTTCGGCATTACAACACCAAAATATCAGTATGTTATTGATGAATACTACAGGCTGAAAGAACTTGTAAGTTTTAAAACTGAAACTTGGTACTTACTTTCAACATTACAGAGCAAAATTTAATGAAACCACACTAATTTTCGTTTATTGATTAATTAGTCATATTTTCCAAGCAATGTTTGCCTATAATACTTTAATATCTTCAAGTGTTTTCCAAATTGTCACACATTGAACTGTCTTGACCTAGTAGCTCAGTTGGAAGAGAATTCGACTAACATGTTGTAATACATGCTAATACATGTTCAAGCTAATTTTTCAGCTTGCCCAGTTGGTAACTCAAAATAGCAGTAGCACAATCATAATATTAGTTCACTTGAATCATATTCTACAATTATGCACTATCAAAGTCAGTTCTATTTGTGAAACTCAATATCTCCTTCAGGAACGAGAAGAAGAAGAGAAGGAATTGAAAGAACAGGAATTTGTTACCCAAAGAAAAATGGAAGAACTTTCCAAAATGGAGGGAGGGGATCCAGAACTTGTTTACGATGAAGTATCCTCCGCAACAGCTCCCCATGCTGCTGTTTCATAATAATTCTCAATCATACACATTTGTAAATACAGTTTTGATGACATATGATGCAGTAGAATGCTAGCTGTCAGGGTATATTCAAAGATATGTTCGCACTGCATTTTGTACGGCAGGTCCATCGCAGATCAGTGACAGTGTTCGTATGTCAGACAAGATTATTTTAAAACGTTTTCTTGAAGAAAAATGTGTCTAGGAAAGTTTTTGAAGAGATACAGGGATTAATCATGCGAAAGACTTTGAAGAAACAGTTGATGTGGTTGACTTGTTGGAGAATAAGAGTTTATATTAGTCTGAACTATTAGACAAGGACCGTTCAGCGCAAAATAGCGAATGATATCACACAATTATAAATTCATTCAAATGTCAACGAATATATTTTTAATTATATGTCAAGCTAAATTCTCACAAAAACACCCTGATTATTGAAGCAGGTGGCCAACTAAAAAAAGTTTTAAAATGTTTTAAAAAGTTTTTGTTAATAATAGCTTAACTGCTTAATAATTAAGGGCTGTTTTCGACTGTCTCGTTTTTTGCACGTACGTACACGCTACACGCACGTAAAAGTTCAAAACCTTCCTAGTTATTATATAATTTATTCTATTGCGGAAAAAAACAACAACCAAATCCTCAACAGGATCCAACCCTATGCGTCTATTCAAATGTAGATTTTATAAGCATGATTTAAATTATTTCAAACTTTACGTGCGTGTACGTACTTATGACCATATTTTGACTTCAGCTGCTATATGGAGATCAGTGGCTGAGCCGCGCGGTGATGCTGGGGGAGGGAGAGTGGCAATTTCGTTGTTTCGGAGTGCGCCGGTAGCGAGCATGCGCGTGTATGTTGTCTCAGAAATACGTGCCAAAGTTGAGTTTAATAAATTTAATAGGATTATACTGGATGTGGTTAAGACTGGGATAAGATACGGGATTAGAATTAGATTCGCACCAGCCTGTTGGTTGGGGTTTCCAGATTTGTATATAAATGAACTCCACCGTCGGTTTGAACATTTTTCGAAGTTTCCCGTTCATTCCAATTGTGAACGAAATAAATTCAGAAAACTTTCATCGCCAACACAATCCGGCTGTACGTAATATTCAATAAATTTTTCAAAAAAGATCTTTAAATGTCTGGAATGTTTCGCTTATGTGATCCTTTTGTGATTCAAATTATATTCAAACAGTTGGGAGGCAATGACGCAAACTCGATCCGTAAATAGTACGGAACGTTTCAAACTATTTTTGCACCTCGTTGAAAAATCTGTCGTTTCAGGAATGTCGGAGTTGAATTCATTACGCCCCCGTGGGCCGGAAACCGCCTGACCGAAATATACTTAATATAGCACCTGGATAAATTCTTGAATAAAAAATGTCAAAAATTTTTGGCCCTCGATTTGGTTCGGGGAAGTAGCAACGTACAGCGCGGAACTTCAGGAAATCAGAAAGTCAGCACATTTTTTATATGATTTTGCCAAGTTGGATTTAAGCTGTGATGTGTGAAGTTTGGATCAACCCCGTAACCCCATGTTGATCCTGTTAAAAGTTCCTCAAGCTAAGAAGTTTTTGTGTATAGTAGGTGTTAGTCGCGTGTCACGTATCGTGTGGTGGTGATCTCTGGTATCGTGTGTCGTGGAAATATATCATCTCAACTGTTCAATATTTACCAATATAACCAGGTAACGTTTTCGTGTTGAGGTTTCATTTATTACAACAGGAAATTTCGAGGGTTTGGGGTAACCCGTGAGCTACCTTGGCTTGGGGATTTTAATTAAAACTGCTAATTTCATTTAACACGTCTCGTGTCTCTCGTCGTCATGAGACTGACGACGTAAAAATTTAACTTAATCAACGAAGCTTTTGTACAATTACTAAACAATTGTTTTAGAAGACAAAATCACATGAATGAATTAATCGCTGATAAACTTTCTAATAACTAAATGCTAGCATTGCTATGCTCTGGTCGATCTAAGAATTTAGCGAATTTACAAATTTCTAGTAATTTAACAATCAGCTTCTGATCGCGGATATCGGCTTATCGTGTGACAATGCTTATCAGATTATCGATTAGATTTCTCCAATCCAAGGACACAGTAACAGAAAGCACAGAAACTGTGCTTCATGTCTAAACGTGGAAATATTGAACCGATATTATTACCGCTTCGGTTTGCCTTTTTTTTTCACGAGATTTCTTATTCGCCAATGTCAAGACATTCGCTATCGCACGACCCTCGACATTTACACCCACGGCACACGAGAGACATGAGTTTCAGTACTGACAGTGTGTGATTGATATAATCTCAGGTATAATCCTTCATTCTAGGACATTTATTTCCTTTTCGTATCAATGACCAGTCTAAATTTAACCGCATTTGTTTGCTGAAGAACTTGCACAATTCAAGCTTTGAAACTGGGAATAACCTTGGAGATACTTTAATAATAATCGTCCCCCAAACTGCTTATTGATTCGGTCAATATTTCCTCAGATCAGGCAATGCATGGAATTTATATATGACATATGCTCGTCAATGACCTTAGACCTTTTTGAAACGGAAAGCTGAGCAGATCGGGTTGATCGAGTTTTCGCATTTCAACTACACGTGGTTGCATTTCCAAGTACACTTCAGTGTTTTCGCTGAGAAGTTTCGATTTTCTTTTGAGGGTCCTCCGGCGGGCGATAAGAAGAGTTGTTTTCACAAAGAATTCCGAATTCGAGGTAAAGTGAGTTCTTCTACTTCAGTCACTTATAGCTGCATGTAAATTGTTTTAGCAAGTTTATGGGAATATATGAATCGCCGGTGTAAGCATGTTGGCAATTATTTGCGCCCTGAGGTATAAATAATATTGATGGATAAGTTCTGCTTCAGTATATTTGATTTCCAATAATTCTGGGGATAGAGTATAGCGACATTAGCGATTGTTTTATCATAATATTTATATTAAATAGTTATATACGGTCGAGAAGAAGTGAAATTGCTCTCTTGCCAAAAATCTTTCATCATCTTACGTTTACAATAATAATCAATTACACCATTTAACTCCAGAGGAATCAATGCTTACATCAGCACATGCTAAATATGTGTCTATACTTTAATATCAGTGAATGCTATGATTTATACTACAATGGCATTAGTTTGTTGCTAACTAGCCCTACTGAGTTCACCGAATCACCACTGGAATTTGTCTCAAAATCGTCTTCAAAAATCTGTAGACCTAATGGTGTATATGTCACGGTATATCCGGCATTGACTGACATAAAAGTCGCGGTAGGTTTTAGCTAATTATGAATGCCAAGGCTACTACAGTTTATATTGCATTGGTTGCTCTTGAGGTTTTAAATATTGTTCCTGTAAGAGGCTGTATCAATTCCGGAAAACCAGTTCCACAATCCTAGAATATGAAAGCAGAACTTCGAGCAAATTTCAGTCCCTAAAATTAGCACCTCGTTGATAACATTCGCAAGCTTTTGTACACTCTGAAGGCTTGTTTAGCAGTCATTCGTGACTTTTTAGCTAAACATCACAATAGCAAGATGGCAATACGAGATTTTAGAGGTAAAAAAATGATTCTCCCAGAGGGCATTTATAATAGCGTGCTTAACCGTAATCGGAGAATTTTTCCATTAGAAGGCAAGATTACATACAGTTGGGTGGGAATATAAGCGGAGAAGAATTCCCTATATGCGTTGAGTAGAATTGTTTTCGCTATTTCTTTGTGGAGAAGACAATAAGGTCCATTAGAAACGATTAGCGTAAATGACCGGTTATCTTCATGTCGCCGATCAAGGCCAGGGTTAATACATGCAACATTTTCTTTATAGTCTGACCATTTAAATTCTTCCGTGGCGAACAATTTCAGCCATTTATTAATGCATTTTGCAAGTCATAAAACTCATTCATTTCATTGGACGATCACGGCGACCAATCAAAAGCGAGGAAAATTAATCCGCATTGTCTGGCATTTTGACGTTATCAAAAGGTGTTTAGACACCAGTGTTTGCTCGGGAAATTTCATAATATCAAAAAGCAAACATTTCACGGTAAACCGCGTCTAATAATATTTTCTCATTATTTTGTTCTGCTTTGCGGTTGTGACGTCAATTTGACGTCATCATGTGGATTACTTTAATTGGATGCACACTGGCAAAAGAAAGGATTAGCCATCTCCAGGCCGTTTTAAACCCTCTTCCTGTCCATTGTATTCGACCTCGAATTGAAATGTCACCAAATTCCTTATGATATTTGCCACCAACGACAAAGAACATACTTCACGAGAAGCAGCATTAAAATTTTTCGTCTCCTAGCAACAAACAGTTTTTAAAACTGTACAGCTACTGTGCATTTCTCCCGAGTAGGTCGTGTGCTTGCCCCAGTGAATGGAACTGATTGATTTCCTCGGTAAAATGCGCTCTTTTGTTCGTTTGATCAACAGATAACAGATGTGACTGTGGTTGTTTGGAACATATAAGTCTTAATTTTTAAAGCGTAGGCTGCCGGATGTACCCTAATATTCAATACAAAACTTAGTCAAAATTCATTCCCATACAGTCGTCTGACTATCCTGTTCAAAAGGGAAGTATCTGTGGTATTTCCACGCACTTTTTATACCGTAGCCGTTGGGATAAAAAGGTTTTGCAAAACATTTCATTTAGTGTTTTCCTCTGAGGTATCTAACCTTATATTCTGTCATTAGGATAGGACAGCTACAAATTACTCAGCCTTACATAACTAATCTGAGTATAGGGTGTTTTCAGATATTCGACCTCCACACGAAAAAACACCCACCTTTATCACGTATTCTGACGCCCCTACGTTGAAATTGTGCATGGATGATTCAAGACTCAAATTTTTTTTCATCAGTAAGATTATTATTTACAAAACGAAATAAAATATACATAGGTTTTTGAATATACGCATGTGGATTATCAGATTGGTCTGGTTTATGTTAGTGCACGGCAAACGAAAGGAACAAAAGCTTTGGAGTTGGTTCAAGTATTTGACATGAACTCGAGAGATCGGAACTGAGGTCATTGCGCATGCTCACTACGGCTTCGTACTTCGAGATAAAAAAACATACGACATGATTGACATCGAATTTACTGAAGCCAGGTGCATCGGCATATCAAGGAAACCATTTGTCAACATGTAATTTTCATCTCCCAGGCTTACCAAACTGTTTGTGATTCCTCTTTTTAATGAAAGCGAATCAGCAGGAACTGACGCCGATACTTGAGATATAAATGAAAGACAATATTTCGGTTAAACAAAGTCTGTGGTTTTTTAATTTTTCCGGCTCAAAATCACGCCAGCTGCGCCTTCATCCGCATTCCTCGAAAGATTTCTGGAGAAATACATTATAAATTTGAACCTTCTCCATTAGTTTGGACTCTCAATCCAAGTTTCG